ATATATATATATATATGATCCAGTGGCTCTCTCTCGTAAATAGGGTCAATATGATTAGAGGAGCGGAAATCTGAAAGACGAGACGAGACCAAGAAATAGATTAGATGTGTTTGGTTGGTGAGTGAGAAAGCATATTCCCCGTCCTCTCCTCTTCCTCCCTATATATATTTCCAATTAAAAGAAGAAAACAAAGTAGATAATATTTTTTTTATTCTTCGATTTGTACCACTGTGCCAAGTTTTTGTTTATTATTATTGTGTGTTTCTTAATTCAAGCAACTCACAATGTTGCTGCTGCTTAAGCAGATCTGATTTGCAATGATCTCCGATCTGATCTGCTTTGTTTTTCCGGTCCCTTAGATTTCTTCTGCTTTACTCAGTTTACAGAATCCATGCTTGTTGCTGACTTTTATTATAGTCATTTGGAATCTGCTCATTTTCTTGTTTCTGATTGATGTTCGTTTCAGGGTACTAGTGTCCGCGTAGAGCTTGGTGATGGAACCACTGTGTTAACAAATGCCACGTAATAATATACAATACAAATTTATCCATTCCAAAACTATCCTTGCATTCCGAAACTCGACTGTGCTCGAGCATAAACCTCATACATCTTCTTACATAAACTCTTTCCACAAAATTTCTTCAGCCCATTCCGAGCTCATTCACCCAACTAAACATTACACTTCATCATAAGTATTGGTCGATTACATAAACTCCACCAAACATGCTCCAAAAGATGCATATAATAGACAAACTAACCGTCTGATTTTCGATCCAACTGTTGGTTCTGAAGACAGTTATTCCATGAAGAAGTCCATGAAATTTCAGCTCGATCCGACTTCATTTAGTCCTCCGAATGAATCCTCAAAGCAGCTGATCGGAACTGTCTCTAGACTGTCATAGTCATACTCCGGTTTATTTTATATTTACACAAACTGCCACGTAATTGGCTTCTATAGAAAATAGATATAAATGTTACCATAAAAAATAGCCTACATACACATCCAGAATAATTTGACAGAGGGTTTTCCGTTGCTACTCAAATTTTTTTTTATCTCAGACAAAACAAAAAAATTAGTGTGACCTTCGACAATATTAAAATCTGATGATCAAAAGAAGAAAACATATTAAATAAAACATACTTCCCTAATATTGAAAGAACAAAGCAGATCATTCAAAACAAAAGAAAACCAAAATGATAAATTGATGATATTTRATAAGAACAATCTCACTTTAAAACTAAATTGTACAACTGAACAAATGATTATTAACCTTACATGTTTTTTTTTTTGAGAACATCCCGACAAGATGCTATGTTAAGTGTGATACCAACAGATCCCAGCTCACATTTTCGAAATATAACAGGAGGACACCAACATAACCACAATTTATTTTTTAACCAAGATGATGAATGAAATGACACAAAAATATCATAGCTCCTAAAGCAATAACCCCTTAGCTAAATTCAAAGAACCATAGTATATCCCGAGAGCTATATTCAATATGTCAAAAGCAGTATCCAAAATCAAAAGTACAACTCAGCCGTTCTAATTAATTCCACACACGCATAAATGAAACAACTATTATGCATGATGAAAATGTATCTAAACCACCAACAACAAATAAGACGAAGAAAACCTAATTTGATCCAATGATTTT